AAAATGATTTTACACATAATTATACATATCGGTTTGAAGTAGAAAAATAAGAAAACTTATAAGGGAATTAAAGAGAGGAAAAAGCAAGTCTTAATGACTTATTAGTTGACCCATAAATAAGGCAAGGGACAAGAAAACAAGGAGAAATAAGAAAATAATGGACAAGACATTGGGAATAAGTACATAATTGAAAGTATGTTCAGAGCACTCTGCTAGTCCTCTGACCCCTGTTCCTCAGCTTTTGATTAAATTATAATAAAAAAGGAGGGGTTGGCAAGAACCCCTATTGGCAAAAATAGCAAGAAATTAACATAAGGTATAAGGGATAAAGAAATGTTTTTACCTTGATTTATCTAAGATTGCTAAAAGCATTTCTTTGGCCTTTTTTCTTTCTTGAATTTTTATTATAAACATTTTCAAACATACAAAAGTTGAAAGAAGAGTATAATGAACCTAATCACCCAGATCAAACAAATATCATCATTCTATCGTGGACTTCTTTTTCTTTAATTATCCCAATCAAATATTTATTTTCCCCAGTCACAGAAGAGATATCAACATATCACAGTGTTCTTTTCTTATTTTTATACCAGAAAAAAAAAGAGATTAAGGAAGTGTTCCCCTAAAAAAAACATGTAGCTTGGCAATATCAGTTTAAATAAATGACCACCAGGAGGAGCTCACCTAGTGTTCTCTAATAGGCTACGGAAATAGTCATTCAGAGTCACTTGAAGCAAGGAAAAGAGAAGGTATAATTAATCACAGAATGCTTAAGTCTCGGTCTACACACTTCAAGTGCCACTAAGTCAATAATGAAAAAACTCAATTCCACCAATTTATCTCAGCCAATACCCAAGACTCACAAAACTGCAGAAATCAATACTTGGAGTTCCCTACTTAAGATAGATGACATAGAATTTGATTCTAAGGCTTCTGAAAGTTCACAATTCAGAACAATTTCCTTACAAATTAAATTCATTTTCCCAAATCATCACGTGCTTAGAATTCTTTAAGGTCTTATAAGCCAGAAACAAAAGCTTTGATTTACAAAGGTACTTTTTTATGAAGTATGCTATTTTTCAAAGTACATCTTTTCATGATATATTAATATTTATATACTGACTTTAAATTTTTGTATGCTACAAGAAAAATTCTCCTTCAATAAACTTCAGGAGAATTAAATACATAAGTAATTATAAAAGGCTTTCTTTCTTACTTTATTCAAGAAGACAGATTTATATCCTTTACTTTTTGGAAGTGAGTGAAAACGAAAAGCAGGTGGAAGAACAGAGCTGTTACACAATACCAGGGGCCACCATTAACACCAAATTCTATATTTGTGTTCCAGGAGGCACCATCCACATAAAATACCATATGGATGGTGCCACCTAGAGTTGTGCAACTCCTCAATGGAACTATGGAGAGAAAATAAAACTTACAATAAGCTTCTGTAAGTGAACATAGGAGCTGAAAAATATTTCTTCTAAAAATAAGTACAAGATGGTCAATCATAAATAAGTAGATTTGGGGTGATATTGAAAAGGCTCATTTCACTGAAATTCTTCCTCTTTTTCAGAAAAGATACATTTATATGGAATCTACCCCAGCAACAGCAATAGATAAGTAACTTTCACCAAATCACTACTGCCATTCATATTAGCCTTCTTCAAATTCTAGGTCTTGATAATAGTTCATATCTTCTTCTTGTACTAATCCATTCAACCTACGAAAAGCTGTAAGCAAGTTCTCTGAATAATGAACAGTTCCATTTAACTGTATTTCTATCAGTAGAAACAAATAGTGTATCTTGCTAACCAAAATAAAAGTTGTTAGTTCATAGGCAATTTGAAAGAAGCAAATGAACGAACGAACACACAGGATGAGAGTTATTTTTGCAGCCAATATTAAGCAAGAATAATTTCAATTAAGGAAGAGAAAGAAAATACATAACTTAATGGTTAAAACATCACAAAATAGAAAGTATATACTACTTGCTGAAGTTTTGCTTCTAGCAAGTCTTTAAACTTTTGGCTTAATCCTTCTGACAACCAATTACAAGTACACTTACATTGGTAATATACGGTTCAATAGCTTGAGCTGTCCTCTTCAGTAAAGCCTTTGCCAAATCATATGCTTGCTTGTTTAAATTCTGAAAAACATAAATATCTATATTATAAATCTCTATGAAAAACAAAATACTTCCTGTATTTTAAAAAGCTATTTTAAGTAAATAAGTGAAAAAACTAAGACTCAATTAGAATAAAAAAGAGAAGGCAAAGCCACTTTTCTTAGGAATAACTGGCCTACAAGATCTTAAGATCCCTTCCATGCAAGGATAACTATATTCGCTTCTTATTTATAACATAATATAACCTAAATAGAAATGGTCAATAAATGTTTATTAGATAGAGAAGGAGATACTCAGTCATTCTAAATCTAGTCGCCAAGTCAAATCAGTTTAGCTGAGCCCAAATACAGGCTGTTCCACTCCAGGTCCAGAAGATCCAAAACACCCTAAGAGGATGAACTGGTGTGGGCAGCAATGGGGAGTCAGGAAGGATTCTGGAGCAGCTATGGGAAAGCAGATTTACTCGAGCACATCTCAGAACACAGGTAAGTCCAAGGATAAAACAGGAAACAAAATAAATAGTAATGTATTGGGAGAAAAGGTACAAGAAAAAATATATTAAGAAAATGTGTTTCTAAGAGACTTGGATAATGATAGAAGAAACTAAAGATCTAAAGTTGAGTCACTAC